GTGGAGTCGGCGGGGGAGTACCGAGACCGACTCGACGGGATCTATAAGTCGGTGAAGGAGGCGCTGGAACAGGCGCGGAAAGACATGGCGAAGTACGCAAACCGGAAGCGTACCGCCGTCCCTGACGAGGGTTACAACGTAGGGGACTTGGTAATGTTATCTACCAAGAACTTGACATCGGTGCGCCCCAGCCAGAAGCTCTCGATGAAGACGCTGGGGCCCTTCCGAATCACGGAGGTCATCGGCCAGAGCAAGATGGCGAGGAGGCTGGAACTCCCCGCGCAGTTACGACGGGTGCACCCCGTGTTCCACGTGTCGTTGCTTATCCCCTATCGGGCCAACGAGCTGGAAGGAAGAGAGGTGGTTGAGCCACCTACCCCCGAAGTCCTCGACAACGGCGACTTGGGGTATGTTGTGTCCGAAATCGTACACTCGAAGGCGTTACGATCCGGAAGGTCCGGGAAGAAGACCCAATACCTGGTACGGTTCGAAGGGTACGGGGACGAGTCAAACGAGTGGGTCAGCCCCGCTGAGTTTGACCACGACGACAAAGTCGTTGCGGCGTTCCACAAGCGCTACCCCCATCTACCCCAGCCCGGTCGACAAGAGTACGCCGACGCTTGATGCGTTCGGAGTCCGCATCTAGGAGGGGGATCCTGTTATAGCGGTCACGTGACGCGTCGGACGCGCCGTACGCGACTCCCGTATGCGACTCCCGCCGGGGGTACTTTTCGGTATTGTTATGTTGATGTAGAACTAGTACCCTTGTAATAGCTCTACATCCGTTATTACATTTAGATGTCTACCCATACCCTGCCTCATTCCTGCGTCCCGTCAGCCTGTCCAGGGGGATCCCCGTCGGGGGTCGCTCCCGGGCCTTACAGCCGCCCACTCCAACACCGACTTCACCTTCGACGGGTTCATGCTGACCCCAGTAGGGGCAATATCATACCCCAAGAACTCCGTCGCCGTCGTGTCGAACTCACACTTCTCTGCCTTTGCGTACAGGCCATTCGCCTGTAGCCTCCTCAGCACTTCCCGTACGTGCTCGTCGTGTGTCTCCTGATCGGCGGAGTAAATCAATATGTCATCTAAGTAGACAACCACACACACGTCTAACATGTCCTGGAAGACCTGATTCATCCAGCGCTGGAACGTCGCCGGCGCGTTTGTCAAACCAAATGGCATGACGAGACATTCGAACAACCCATAGCGTGTCGTGAACGCGGTCTTCCAAACATCCTCTTCTTTGACCCTCAGGAGGTTGTACGCTCCCCTCAGGTCCATCTTTGTATATACCTTCGATCCCCGTAGGCGATCTAGGGTCTCCGAGATAAGCGGCAGGGGGGTCCTGTCCTTCTCGGTAATTTCGTTGAGGCGGCGGTAATCAATACACAGCCTCAATTCGCCCCCTTTCTTCGGTACGAACAGTACCGGACTCGAACACGAGGATTTCGAGGGTCGAATAAACCCTTTCGCCTGGTTCTCCGCCAACCACGCCTTGAGAGCGTCCGTCTCCTTCTGCGAGTGGTTGTACAACTTCCCATACGTGGGAATTGTCCCAGGCTTCAGCTCGATCGCATGATCGATCGAGCGCTTCGGAGGCAGCGAGTCTGCCTTCGTCTTGGAGAACGCTCCGAGGTACTCATGGTACTTCTTCGGCACAACGTCCCGCAACTTCTCCATGTACTCGGGAGGATCGAGTTCGTTTTGAATCGAGTCGGTGGGCTTGACGTCCCAGTCCCACAGGTCCGGCCTGCGGGCCCGCTCCTCATCCTCCCTCGTCATCTGCATTTGAGCCACCACGAGATTCTCCGTGATCGGCTCCTTCATCCTCGACAGCGGATCGATATTCCGCGTCTCTATCTCCACCTCGTCGGGGGAGCATACTACCTCTACCTTCTTGACGCATCCTTTCTTCAAACAGTCGTCCGCGAAGGTGACTGTATTTGTATCCCACTGGATGTGTGGGCTATGGTGTCGTAACCATGTAATCCCGAGGACCGCCGCGTACCCACACAAATCCGTCAAGAAGAACTCCGCCTTCTCTTGGTGCAATCCTGTCCGCACAATAGCATGTGCCTTCTGGGTGATCTGACCACCCACTATCTCTCTTCCGTCGATGACCGTGACGGTCCTAGGGTTCTCTAGGTCTATCACATCAAAGTTATGGATCCTCGCGAACGTCCGATCCATGAACATACCCGTGGCCCCCGAATCTACCATCATCACTGCCTGCACAGGAATCCCCTGCGGGTAGAACACTCCTACCAGAGTGAGGTGGCTCTCCGGACCACTAGGGTTACCGCTAGCACCAATGTGCAGCGGGATCCCATCACTACCCCCTTTCACGTTCCCAGCCGGGGTCCTTTGGTGATCCGTTATTCTATAAGGCCTGGCAGCCGACCTGCCGGGTCTTGGGGTAATAAGGTCGCGGGACTGGGGAAAGGTAACGGTAGGCATAGCGGTGTAATAACGGATGTCTAACTACTACAAGGTACTAGTTAGACGTCTACGAGAACATCTCCTAAAAGGTCTCCGAGAGGGTCTCCGAGAGGGTCTCCGAACGAGACCCCGAGGCGACGCGCACCGTAGGTCGCGCGTCGCGTGACGCCTATAATACTAATTCAGAATAGAGTCGGGGGTCTAGCTTGGTGTGCTATGGCATGACCACAGTGCAACCGTGGTGTGGCCAAGTCGGTATGACCATGGTGTAACCATGGTCTGACTATAGCAGGGCGAGTTGGTATGACCATGGCAGTACCATGGTCTGACTATAGTAGGGCGAGTTGGTATGACCATGGCAGTACCATGGTCTACCTAATTAGGCTGGTCCGTAACACAAAGACAGAAGAACGTCGAGACCTGCATCACCCCATCCGGATACCACTTCAGAAAGTACACCACATGGTCCCCCCATTTCAGCGAGGAGCCTGATGACGCATTGTCAAAAGCGCTGAGTGAAGGTTGGGCGCCGGCAGAGATGCTCTTGGAGGTGGTCAACAGACTTCAAGCCGAGCCTCACAATTGCTCCAGACAAGCCAAACGCCACAGCCTCTTGGACATCATAAAAGATATAAATCAGAGGAACAAGGAAGGGGGACCAATTGGGAGTATAGACAGCCTTCCTGATAACTGCCGGCTTGCCGGCAGTTACCTGGTCGAGCGCCTGCATGGCAAACGTGACCCCTCTTTGGGAAATGGTTGGGTCATCTCCTTTCAGAGGTCGCTCATAAAGCGGGTGGTGCCTATAGCTACAGGGGTCTGGGAAGTAATCGTCGATATCCACTCTGTCAGGACTGATCTTGTGGTGCCAGCAAACAATGATCACGCTTCCCTCTCAATGCCTGTATCCATGACTGATTCAAATGGATCGGATGAATCTGCCTCTTTCGACCGAGAGAGCGCCAAATTGGAATTGATGCAACTTGAAAGCATGGGATCTGAGCTTGCAAAAGTCCTTGAAAAGTGGCAACAAAGGAAAGAACAACTAGAGAGTCTGTTGAACCCGAGACCAGGCAGTTCGTCCAGTGATACCGGTTCTGTGGCTCGCTCCGATTGGGAACTTGCCTAATCTGATACACATTAGAGTACTGCCCGACAATGTTTGTTCTGGATTCCCTTGTTGTAAAGTCCCATAGAGCATGTTCATGTAACAGATACATAGATGATGTGAGCGCAACGTATCACGCCACCATGCTACTGGACTGTGTCAGTGCTTGTTCTTACTGCTAATTCGCCGTGACGGCAGCACGGGCGTTCGACATATGTACTGAGCAGCTCTGCAATTAGCCGCATGAGAGTGTACAAGTGGCATATTGTGTGTGGGGAATCGCCTTCCCTTTACAGCGCTCAGTAAACAGTTGTTTAATTCATTGATGTGAGGTTCTTGCAATCACGCGCAAGGGCTTTTGGGGACAAAGAATGCAACAGGTTGAACGAGAAGTGAGACCAATTCTTGAACCGAGATTCTGATGGTATGGCACTGTATGCAACGAGCATCAAGGTGCATCATCAGATTTGGTGTGATGTTATGACATCTGGGAATCCGATCCAGGTTTACCTGCACATTGAGTTGTACATGCTTCGATTTACCAGGCTGCCTGAACAAGCTTCGGAGTACTTCTTCAAGCGTACGATGTACCACACCTTGTTGTGTACGGGATCGGGTCTAGTCAAAGAGATGGAATCACTTGACGACAAGCCGTCCAACACAGACAGTACTGAAACGGCTCCGGACAAACCACACCGATATTGGGAAAAGCCACTGTTCGAGCGGCGCGTATCAAGCGCCCCAGCAGTATCGACTTACAAGCACAGGGCATTTCCCCTCTACCTGTAGAGACTGAGTCTTGAGTCCACTAATTATGTTGACTTCGCACCTCAGTCTGTCTACCTCTCCTCTCACTTGAGGGAAATCATTCAAACCCGTCATTATATCAATGGCATGTCTGCCAGGTGAGGGGTATCTGGCGTTCAATTGCATGCGGACTCATAGATGGATAATATGGGGCTGTACTGTTGCCTGTATCTGGCCCAGACATTGGTTTACGACTTAATGTGGACCGGATCGGGTCAGGTCAAAGAGATGGAATCACTTGACGACAAGCTGTCCAACACAGACAGTACTGAAACGGCTCCGGGCGACGTCGACTCCGATATGTCCGATTGTAGCATTTCAGCTGACACCTTCACCCCGATCGAAGGGCATCATCCCTCTCCTCGAACGGCATTCAGTTTTCCACCTCCACATGCGTACCAGTAGTGATCATGCGCCCCGTCTGATAAAGGTGACTCGTTTAAATAGGCTTCTATACCGTTGTGGCGCATGTTGTAAGAACCGTTTCCCCATCACCTATGCACGATCTGCTGTACAGTACATCGCCGGATTGAACCCCATGCTATTCCTCTTGGGGGAGGAATCGATATGCTGGCTTTCCGTACCCGTCAGTACTGCAACAGGATTGGCGCGCAGACTTTCAAATGTTAATGGAAAAGTAGCCAAATCAATGAGATGCGGAAGTGCAGAAGAAACTAATCCCTCGATGTCGAACTTCATCAACAATGAACACACGAATGTCGGTGCATATGTCATGAATCCCAAAATACAGTAAACATACATTCTAATCCGCTCGCCATCACCCGGCCTCCGGACCCAACGCCTTATTGCCCATCGACGACCTTGATGTCCCTGACCTCCTGAGGCTTCCCCTGTCCGAGCTGCGAAGCGGGTTCTCGAGCGGGGATCACCTTGGACTCGTCCGGATGAGGATCGCGGTACTCCTTGGCGTTCCGGCTGATCTGGGCGTCGAGCTCGGACTTGCCACAGGCGGCGGCGATGAGGCCGAGGAAGGGAGGAGAAGGGTTCAGAGGTCGGGTGCAGAATTCGGGGTGGGCTTGAAGACCGACAAAGTAGGGGTGGTCTGACGGGGAAACGCAGTCGAGGTTCAGTATGAAATCTGCCTGAACCGGATCGAACTTCGATGACCTACCGTCCATCTCCAAGACCTGCATCCTCTCGCCCCGTTCATCCCTGCCGATAAACCTCATCCCACCGGGCTGTTCCAGCCTCTCGACGTACTCCGGCCCAACCTCGTACCTATGCCTGTGTCGTTCCCAAATGGTCTCCTCGCCGCCGTACAACTGCCTCAACTTGCTCTTCTCGGTACCCGATTCGAACAAGGTCGGTCGAAGTCCGAGCCTCATGGTCCCTCCCAAATGGGTCTTGGAGATTTCGGGCATGAAGACGATGACCGGGTGAGGCGTCTCCGGAGCGAGTTCGGCGGAATGGGCGTCCTCGAGCCCACACACGTTCCTAGCCCATTCGATGACGGCGATCTGGAACCCGAGGCAGATACCCAGGAAGGGGACCTTTTTCTCTCGGGCCCACTTGACGGCGGCGATCATACCCTCGGTCCCTCGATGTCCGAACCCACCGGGTACGATGATCCCCTTGGCGCTACAGACGGCCCTCCAGGCGTCGTGGTACTTGACAGGGTCCGCGGTCTCTGCCTCGGGCTCGAGGTTGGACGAGTCGACCCATTGGAGGTTGAGCTTTTTGCCGCAGCGCATCGACGCGTGTTCGAGCGACTTGACGACGGACATGTACGAGTCTTGGAGGGTGACGTATTTGCCGACGAGGACGATGGAGACGGTCTCGTAGCGACGTTCGGCGCTGCGAGTTTGACGACGGACGACAAAGGTCATTCATTAGCTCTTTTAAGTCTCGATGTAACGAAACTTGTCGCAAATTCTCGAACTCACTCGAGCGTCATCTCCTTCCACCTCTTCAACAGATCCTCCCCTTTAGCCCTCTGTTTCTCGCCGACCTTGATCTCGTCCAGTTTCAACCGCTTGGTCAAGAAGTCTACCAACCCCTGGTCACGCATCAACAGGGGGACGTGGTACGTCGAGTTGACGTTGTGCACGCCGAGCACTTGAGAAGGCTGGACGTGGCAGAACATGGAGACTTTTTCCATGGTCGCGGGGAGGAGCTCGTGTTCGCATCGACAGGCGATCTACCAAGTGGGTGGGGTCGGGCGAAGAATTTCAGTCCACTTTTTTTATTAGAAATAACGAGAGCGACCAGAGACTCACGATATCAGGCAACAACCCCAACCCCCTCAAATCCCTCACCCCAGCCTGAGTAGGCTTAGTCTTCTGTTCCCCTCCCACCACAGGAATTAAACTGACGTAGACGAGGGCGAAATTCTCTACGCCGACTCGGAATTGGAATTGACGCATGGCTTCGATAAAGGGGGCGGATTCTATGTCGCCGACTGTGCCGCCTAGTTCGATGATGCAGACATCTGGAGGGGCGGCAGCGGCAGCGGAGCCAGAGGAGCCAGAAGGAGAGGTGGTGGAGGTAGGGGAGGGGATGGGAAGGGAGGAGACGCGGAGGATGTGGTCTTGGATCGCGTTCGTTAGGTGGGGGATCACTTGGACCGTCTTGCCGAGGTAGTCTCCTTTGCGCTATGGGTACGAGAAAGATCAAGATCAAGATCAAGGATTCATCGGTTAGCTACGATATGAATCAGATGCACCATACTATACCAGAGATACCACAGGTAAAGAAAACATCTTCCCTTACCGGGGACTCACCTCCCGCTCAATAACATGACTATAAACCTTACCCGTAGTAATATTATTATCCTTCCCCAGCGTTACATCCAAGTACCTCTCATAGTTCCCCAAATCCAAATCTGCTTCTCCACCGTCGTTGAGGACGTAGACTTCGCCGTGTTCGGTAGGGGCCATCGTCCCGGCGTCGATGTTCATGTAAGGATCGATCTTGATGGCTGTTACGGAGAGACCGGTGGTTTTTAGGAGGAGGCCGGTTGAGGAGGCTGCAAGGGGTTGCAATTGCAGGGGTTAGGTTAAGGTTAGGTTAGTGAGAGGATTTTTTGGCGAGGAGGTGGGAGATGTGGGGACTTGCCGATAACTCCCTTCCCGATACCCCTGGAACCAAACAACAGGTAAGACACATAAGTCACACATCCACGAGCTCAGTTAAAGCTGATGTGCTTACGAGATGACACCACCGGCGACGAGGATGAACTTGGTCATTTTTCGCTGAGAAGTTTCCTTAGCTCAAAATCGGCTGTTTCGAAGCGATTTTTTCGGGCAATAAGTAAGATGGATGTGCCAAGAACGCTTTTTGACACTCTGAGGAGGTGTTGTAGCTCTGGATATGGTAGAATGGGGGATGTTGAATGACAAGTAGATGTTCGAGTGAAAGTTGTGAAAGAGTCCCGAGAGGTCTGTGTCCACTAAAATATTCAAATTTGCTTCCGCGCGAAGGGGACTTTGGTCGATTTTGTGAGTCAGAGTCAGAAATTTTGGACACAAGGGCCGACGTTGTTGAGAACATCATTCGGTCGACAACCAACACCAAGCAAGGAACACATCCTGGAGCTCCGGAGTTGAATGTTATCCAGGTGCAAGGTCTGGGAATTTACTAGAAGAACGAACGAAATCGCGTGGAAATCGGTCGGACTGGGCTCGAGAACGACGAAGACGACGACGACGGCAAGAAGGCGGGATTTGAGTGTAAAGAGGTTTAGTATGACGACGAGCACGAGGGATAGGACTGTGGAAGGGATGTCGAGGTCAGTTCTAAATCTAGCGATCTATCCGCGAACATGAGATATCTGGAAATTTCAGGAGAATTCGCTTAAATCTCTTCTTTGCTGGGCCTGATATCGCAGCCCGACCCCGACCTCGACCAAGCTCAAGACCGTCCCCATCCTCCCCTGTACCTCCTCCCCAACCCACCTCATCTTCCAGCCCTCCCCACCCCCATCTCATCCACTTCAATCCCCAACCTTGGACATCTCCTCTATCCCACCCTCTACCTTAACCAACCTCAAAATCGCTTCGGAACATCTACATAAAGAGAGATTGGTCGCTATCCCAACAGAGACTGTTTATGGCTTAGCAGCTTCTACCGCCTCGGAGAAGGCGTGTAGGAGGGTGTATAAGCTCAAGGGAAGACCATCAGATAACCCACTTATTGTGCATATCTCTTCTTTGGATATGCTCTCCACACTCACCCCACCCGGGTACACACCCAACCACCTTCAAATGGCACTCATCTCCGCCTTCTGGCCTGGTCCTCTTACGCTCCTCTTCCCCGCCCGTAACCCACCTGCACCCCCAGCTCCGCAGACAATCGCGGTGAGGTTCCCCGCACACCCAACGGCAAGAGCGCTTATTACCCTGAGTGGACTTGCGGTGTCGGCGCCGAGTGCGAATAGGAGTGGGAGGCCGAGCCCGACGAGCGCGGAGGGGGTTTGGAGGGATTTGGGGGTGGTGGGTGCCAAGTCCGATTGCGATCCCGAGGGGAAGGGTCTGGATGGGGATGAGCAGGGGGTACTAGGGTGTATCCTCGACGCAGGCCCATGCTCAGTCGGGTTGGAATCTACCGTGGTCGATGCTACGTCGTGGATAGACCCTAAGGCGTCAGACCCGGCGTCAGACCTGGCGTTAGACCCGGCGTTGGACCCGTCGTTAGACCCGGCCCAAAGGGGGTTCGGAGGGTCGGTCAAAGGAGGATTCGGAGGGGTGGTTAAGGTCTTAAGGCCAGGTGGGGTTGGGGTGGAGGCGATTGAGGAGGTTTGTCGCGGGTTGGATGAGGAGTTGAACGCGGGAGGGACCAAGGGGGTTAGGACGAGGGTTTGGGTTTATGGGAGGGACAAGAATGAGCCGGAGCCGGAGATTGAGGTTGAGACCGAGACCGGGGTGGATGGTACCGCTGCGAAGATGCAGACACAGGCCATCCCTCAAACTCAAGTCCACCACCTCCCAGAAGCCACTACCAAACACAATCAGATGTCAACCAGGCAAGGGGCAGGAGAGATCTCCAACCCCTCGACGCCGGGGATGAAGTATAAACATTATTCCCCGAGCGTACCCGTGTATCTGGTTTATCCTTCCGACGTCTTCACCACCAGCTCCACTACCACCACCACCACCACCGCGACACCGAAGGGAAACAAAGAGGGAGACGCGACGAACGCTGGTTCTCGGACGGTCTTGTTCATAAACAAGGTGCCGTACGGGAAGGGCGGGAGGTCGGGTCAGAGTCTCGAAAGCGGTCATGTCAACAACAATGGCAACGGTAGTAGAAGCTTCGGGGAGAAAGGAGAAGATGTCAAAGATGTCTTGAGGAAGATCGCCAATAGCGCAGGGGCTGCTCGTGGTCAAGAAGGAAACGTGAGGCTCGGGGTGATGGTTTTCGAAGATAGCCCGCTCAGGCGGAAGGTCCAGCAAGCGCAATCTCAAGCGGGAACTGGGTGGGGGATCGAGATCGAGTACCTCTCGCTCGGCAAGACGGTCGAGGATGCCGCAAGGAGGCTGTTCGGTGGGATGCTCGCGCTCGAAGGCAAGCGTCCAGATTCTCAAGGTGAAACCCAAGGGTTGGTCCCGACAGCGGAGGCGTTGATGACCACGCAGGAAAGGGACGGGGTCGACGCGATCGTCATCGAGGCGACGAACACTTATGGCATAGGCCTCGCGTTCATGGAACGGGCGGGCAAGGCGGTCGGGGGAGGTGGAGGTGGGAAGGGGTTGGGGCAGAGTGTGGATGCGAGCGGGGAGGTCAAGAGGTTTTTGGTCGATGTCGAGTGAGGGGCGGAGGCGCGTGGCAAAAGCGGGGGAAAGGATGTTGGGATGTAGATGACGCGCTGTGATGTGATGTGATCATGTCATGATGTCTCCGGTCCCGGTCGACGATGTTGAGTGTGCGAAATGGTGTCAGTCCGGCTCGGACCGGGTCTGAGTACCGTTTGAGTGCAAGACGTGCATATCTTCGATAAAGTCCGATAGCACCTCGGCGGCCCGGGCTACCGGCACGTTCCTGGCTCTCGAGCAGAGGCATCCAATCGATCCGACCGGCCTTCATGTCAGATCGAAGGATATATCGTCGTGGGAACCGAGGGTGACACATAGTTCAGGGTTACATATCTGGGACTTTGGTCTAGTCCCAACCAAAGATGACCTCGTTACACAATTCCTCATTACCAGCGATGACAGAGATACTCTCGATTCAATTTGATGGTCAACTACGACGTTCATCAACTCGTGTTTAAGGTGAGGACAGGGATACTCTGGATTCGAATCGATGGCTAACCCCTAACCCCTAAGGTTGATGATCAGCAAGCCTTCTTCTGAGAGTTGGCCTACGGGCGAAATAGGCTGGCAGTTACTCAGGGTGGCAGCAAGGACACCAAATCAGGCAGTCATGTGTGTGGAGCTACAGGTCCTCGCGGCTAATAGAGGAGTACAGGTACGTTTGCGCTGATACAGAACGCGCGCTGTGTAGCAAATCGTTAACAAAAGTCTGTACAGCAAGCCATCCAAATCGGGTTGTTCAACATCCCTGCACCAGTAAATTTTCTGGTCCTCATTCCCCGCATCTTGAAGAAACATTTTACATTAGCTGCAATCACTAAAACCAAGATCATCTGGGTCGATTCTTTATTTAAGCCCGATATGGTAAGTCAGCGTCAAGTTTGGGTTCCGAATTGGCGCGGGTTCCGGCTCCATTTAGGTCTCCCTAAATCTGCGGAAAAACAAGTCGCAGATATGCACCTGCTACACTCCAAGTTGGAAGTGCTTCATTTTGCAAGTAGTCTGCAACAGGATGCCCACAACTCTGGATCCTGGGTGCTTGCTGCAGCGGCATGGCTTCTCGAACAGCGGTACAGGTAAGTCGGCCTCGGACGGAACGTATGCAACAGGAAATCACTAATAAAGCGTTCCGACTGGGCGCGGGGCCCACTGTAGGTTCACGCTACAGTAGAGTATGACGACACTGACGACGACCTGCTGGCCAAACAGCGTGACCGCTGTCGAGCCGGACTCAGACAAGGACGATGAGGTGGTCGACAATGATGCGCTCGAGCGCGACCAAGACTAAGACAACGGCGCACACAACGTTTCAAACATAGCGGGATAGGGATTCTACGACCCCGCCTGAGCCGCTGCTGAGAAGAATACCGATCGGGTGTCCCAGAGCGGGGAGGTGGCGTCACGAACATCGGCGCTGCAAATCAGGCTATATCACCTACCTATGGAAATGCAACTGTTAAACATATATTCAAAATCTAGATGAATGGCTGGACCTTAATCTCTGTTAGACGGACCGATTTATCCGTGCGACATCAGCCTGTTTTGATTCATGAAGAAAGGCAAACTCGTGTCGCATTACTGGGGTTAATACAACATGTGCGGTATCTTACGGATGAAGAACATCAGATTGGGCGCTCGGACGAGTTCCTCTAGTCTGAAGATACGGTGAAAAGCGTGACAAGGTACGATCGAGGCGCTTCTGTGTCGGGCACGGAAGCGTCAGTCGAAGTGGCTTGTCCAATCAGCTCTGAATTGTCATCGTCACCCACCAATCCAGTGTCGATCGAGTCGGCGGGCTTGCAATCCAATGTTTCGACCCAATCCAGCTCGATGGCGGGCTGCCTCCAGGATAAGTTGTGTTGGGTCACTCTTGCCCAACGAAGTACTTCAACGCCATTCGTGACGGTTCGCTGGACCTCGAAATCGATTGACAACAGCACCGTGAGAGAAACACCGATTGTGGAGTTGGCAGCGGCAAAAACGCAATTGGGAGAAATCGACAGCCCCTTGGTGGCCAGATCCAAAGGCACAAGTTCGGTGCTCAGAGATCTATTCCACTCGACACTCAGTTCTTCGCAACCCTTCTGGATTTTCGATTCAACGAGATCCAGAGCCGGTCGCCCAGACTTCGCTCCCCTCAAGGATTCCCTTGCTAAAGCTCGGACTTCCTTCCAAGTTCTGGCAGTTTGTCCATGACTGAAGTTGTCAAGTATCACCTGGTTGACGGGTTCTACGGCACCGTCAACAAGAGTCATCAACGCTGCTTTCAAGGGATCCCATAAGTGTGACGCTTCTTGTTCCGGGAAAGGGGAGTCCGTCGTCCACCAATTCCAACTGGATCTGTGTTCGCTGTGCTGGATCGGGTTGCTCATGCTGCCTCCTCATCAACTGGGCTATACGATGTGATCACATGGACAAGAAGAGAGGGAAACAACTCTTTCCGGGGAACGACTCATGTCGCTGTCGGCACAGTATTATACGATTATACGAGTACGTGCTTGACTGAACGAAACTCGCGCCAACTCACTGACGACGCGCCACGGTACCAAGAACCTTGGTACCATCACAAAGGAGGCCCAAGAAGCTTGACATCGGGGCTCATGGTCATGCACCGTTACTCAGCTGATAAGGTCGGCAGAGCGAGCGAAGACCGAGAACGTATCGGGAATGGTCAGGCGATCGTATCTGTGGGTCCAGTGCGAGATGGGCTGAACTATCTTCATTGCCATGTAGTATGACCGGGCAATTGTCAATGATGGCGAGGGATAAATCTACCTTCGATGCCGTCGAGACCATCATACATACGGATCCATTCCATAACGAGCGCGGATTCGATGCACAAACAGTTGTACCGGTACTTGTGTTACAACGAATTCAGGAACTCAAGAAACAGGTAAAAAAGTACAAGCTATCAGACTGTGTAAGTGACTGTGGTGCTGTCGATCTCTGGCTCAAGGCTGAACAACGTCTCAAGGTAGGAATGAGGCGCTTCCTGGGCGAGCTGTGAACTGTCGACAGTAATGTCTCGACCGTTCTTCCGAGATGTATCGGACCGGTGAGACATGATTGTCTTGTCACGGCCGTCCAAACTGCAGTCCAGCGTCCCTAGCCAATCCGGATTCCATGACAGAACATGCGTCACAACACGTTCACACCAGTACTGCCTCCCTGGTCCTTCCCCGGCAAATCTCCGTGCATAAAGTAAGATTTGCAGATACACCTTGGTTGGTTTGCTGGTCTCCACGCAGTAATTGCACTTCGGGTAGACGCTGATCCTGGTTGCAGCCAGTGGTGAACCTTTGCTGAGGAGTTTGTTCCACTTTCTACTCAGCTCTTTGCATTTTTCTGATGCAATGGTCTTTGCATGCTCTTCAAAACCCCTGATGTTGCGGTAAGCCATACTTTGGACTTGTTTCAAGCTGTCAGCCTCTTGCATGCCGCTTCCAAACTTTTCAAGCATTGCCAAGTTAGCAGGCGTTGTTAGAGATCTGGCCATGTCCATCAACTCTTCACGCAGAGGTTTCCAAAGAGCTTCCGTCTCTTCCTCATCTGCTAGCAAGGTACCGGCTGGCAACCAGCCCCCTTCCCATTCGCGAACTTTGTGAATGATCTTTTCTCCCATGGCAACTTTTACGAAGGCGGAAAGATTCTGTGTCTAAGATGAATTATCCGCCAATTGCTATTATTCTTTAGTACATCTGGACGATTTATATAGTTGCTCAGCACTTCATCGACCCGCCTGCCACATGTGGCGAGTAGACAGCGGTGGAGAAGATCGTGGTCACAAAGGAGGTAAAGGAAGCCTGCTTCCCGGTCAGGTGCCCCATTGCAGTAATCAGTATGGAATCGAGTATCTCGCACGTGATTTATGGGATACGGACATCATGCGGCGATCGAGAAGCCCGATTCTTGACCCCGAATTCCCAGGCTCAGTGCATAACGACCATCAAAATCGAGTCTGAACAGCTGATCAGTCCTCTTGGCAAGCAGCCCAGCCGAACGTAGGCTAAGTATTGACTGGGGCATGATCGCTCTGATGATCGACATACAGGAATTGATCCTTTCCAGAATCTCTACTGTACCTGAGTGTCACCGTCCCTTGACCGCTACCACTTGCAGCCCTTGTTCATCTAGGATTTGCAACCCGGCCCAACAGCCCAACCAAGTTTGCAGCGAGCGCTTTTTGAGATAGCCGATAATATACTTCATATTGCTCGACCTACCATTCAGCATTTTTGGATGCCGGATTTTCAGGGGAATCAAAAAGGTAGCATTTGGCACAGCGATCTGGAGCCAAATGATGGGCAAAAGTTCGGCTACAATACATTCAAGATTACAGACAAGGCAATCGACATTCTGTAGAGCTGCAGGGAATCTTACAAGGAGATCAGAGTGATCCCGGAATCGATCCACCGGAAAGGTCGGTGTTTCCCAAAGACTTGCCAGTGAAAAGGGTCGCAATGTCCGGTAAAATCGATTCCCCCTCGATAGGGTTGGAGACCGTAGAATTCACGTCATCGGTTTTATTGTTTGACTGGTTTGACCCGGTCGAAGCATCCTGTTCTATCGCGGCAGGTGCACCGACGAGACTGAACCTGAAGGTTTTGATATATGCATATGAACCGTGAAACAGATGTCTGTTTCGGTTTTGAGTTCCGGGGCGCTTGAGGAAGACATTCAAAACGACCCAGAGGTACAGCTCGAGATGATCGCCTCTAACTTTGTAAAGGTCTTCAACAAAGTGGATCTCAATCTGCTTTAAGATTCCTTCCTGCAAAGCGAGACCGGTCGTCCAAGCACTGCTCTGCTCGACCTGGGTCAATCCTCGACGGAATTCTGCTATAAATTCATCGAGGATCGACTTCTCCTGTACCGTCTCCTTGATCATCCTCTGTACTTCCCTTTCTACTTCTTCCAAATCCTTGGCGAATCGTGCTCCGTTGGCAAATGTACGTTGCAGAAAGCTATGAACGCCGCTCGCCGCCCGGTCGGCGTGACTCTTCAATTCCTCTCGAGCAGTCATAGGGAAACGCTGCAGAGAGGAAACCCCGCCGCCTCCATTTAAGTTGAGCTGCGATTCACTGATAACCTCGTAACGGATGGGATAGCTCGTGTCTGCCATATTTGATCGTTTGTTGGGAGAAAGTAGATGTTCGGCCGGACTGAATGAGGTTTCTGCGACTGGCTCTTGGTTGTAGAACCACGTATGCGGCGGATCTGATTGTTGACGATCCAAATCTAGATATATAGTCGGTAAAGCAAGGGGTGAACGAGCCAGACCCTCATACCGGAGAAGCGAACAAAGGAGGAACCTGTAGTAGTATAGCTCGAGAGAATCATGGGGTCTATCTGATTGAAGAGGAAGCGGGGCACGAGGCAATGTCGTGGATTCACCAACAAGCTCGCACAAAGGAAGTCCCCATAACGTGCCGCGCCTGACATTTTTGTTTCAGGGGATGTCGACAAGCCATCTGGACTTGGCTTCAATCAACCCGATGCTTGCACTGTGTTGAAATCCATTGTCTCGAGCGCGCCTATTGTTCCCCAACAATAGATCACGCGGAACAATAGCGGATCCACTCTTCACGCCTTTGTTCCCCTGTGTTTCATCTCGCTCGCTCGCTCGCTCGCTTTGTCATCTCTCGCCGAGCTCGCTTGCTTTGTCATCTCTCGCCGAGCTCGCTTGCTTTGTCGCTTCTCGCTTCTCGCTTTCCGCTTTCCGCTTTCCGCTTGTCGCTCGCTCGCTCGCTCGCACGGCTCGCTCGCTTCGCCGCCAACTCCTATTGTCCTGAACAATATATATACTGGCCCTTTTCAATCCCCTTTCGATAGATCACCTTGTAATTACATCTTCATGCAAACTATACAGCGGTGATCAACTCGATATCCAACACACTGTCCATGATAGTTTTGGGATAATTCTCTGGGGAAAGGTTTGATCTCGTACTCTGGTGTAATCGTCGCCAGCTTTTGTGTGGCGTCTCTCTCTACCGGAGCGAGCAAGTCATCCCTAGATGTCACGAAATAGCACAGTCCCTTTGTTAGGGATTGGCTAATGCGGATTCGCCGACCAAGCGATTACGGCGCAAAGTATTCGTACGCGAAGTCAGTATAAATGAAGGTGACTGATATCCAAATTACTGATACGGACACGGTTGCGAGCGACAGGTTATATAACGTACAACAACAACAAAAAAGAATCACAACGTCCGAATATACTGTGCGAATACAGACGTATAAAACAAAGCTGGATCTAGGTTGTCAGGCAGTGTTCGTCGAATCCATTGAGGGAGGGGCTGAAGATTGTGACATGGTATCTTGAGTGCCGGTCACAACCGAGCTCTCTGAGAGCATCGTGGCTATGGTCCTCATAGTTTCGTCATCATCGGGCAGCAACTGCTCAGGCCTGTGTCCCATCGATCCTGAATCACCGGTCGTATAAGACTTTGGGTCACGAAAGCGGGAAAGCGACCACTTTAGGTCTTTCAAGGAAAAGTTGTGATAGGTGTGGTGTCTGATATCATAGACTTGAGAAGGCGATGATTGTTTATTTGCTTGCTTTCCACGTTCAAAACCCACCTGAAAATCGATGACCACGTCGGCTTTCACGAGGTCGACTCTATTTCTATACGGCGGCGACACGTGTATACAACCCTCGATGTTTGAGAGGTTATACACATCGTCAGTGTTCCAATTTTCCTCCATCAGCTTCTTCAGAAGCTTGTCCGTCTGCTCTTTGAGCTGGTCCCGAGCGGGGAGCAGCAGTGGCGTGAGTCGGTCCTCGGGAAGTACTCGATCTGGAACCGAGCTGATCAACCACTTCAGCGCACGTACAGTTGCCATGGGCGAAGAGGCTTCTGGGGAGCTCTTATACTCCGTGGCGGCCTGATTGAAGGCGGCGTGAACCGTACCAAGGGGTTCCACAACGCACTGAAGTAGCTGCTGAAGCAAAGATGTCCAACGAGCTTCCTCGATCTCTTTGGGACGCTTCCAATTCATACTCTTATGGTACGAGTGGTAACTCACCTCGTACTCGAGATGGCTGTCTTGCTGCATGGTTCCTTGTTCGGCTCAGATGAGTTTGCAGCTGGTAATGGGGAGAAGATGATTGACAAAAAGCTTGACAGCGCACGGGTAAGACTGATACTACAACACGAGCATGGTAAATTGTGGGCTCATCTATAAGGCCGTGTAGTCAACAGTCTGGTTTACAGCAATGGCAGCGTGCTAGAGATGTCAGCTGACGACAGGTCGACATGACAAAGGAATACGAAGAACCCCAAGGAGCGCGGGTCACGCGCTGGGGTCGCTCAACGTGACTGCCAGGTATGTAGCCAGCAGCGTGTGTCCGACTTCGCCCGATACTGGTCTCATGAGAACAAAGGGAGATTCCTCTCCTACAGTTTGAGGGTCAAGAGGAGTACTCAGGCAGTAAGATAGCACATGATTTCAGGATATGGGACTTTGACGGAAAGCTGTTTGATGGTACGATACGATACAAGGCGTAGACACGCGCGTCATTTTGAACAATTTGTCCGACTAGATTGCGCGGTCCTCGGCTCAGTATACCGGGCGGTTTGGGTCAACTTGAAATTTCGCGATATCATACCGTTCACTGCCGCGCGATATCATACCAGAGCTTTTCACTGCGCAACATGAAATACCGCAAGAGATGGCAAGGGCGAGAAGTCCAACCAAGCGAGTTTCATGGTCTCCTAGAAGTCCAACCAAGCGTGTCAAAGGTTGACTAGAAGTCTAACCAAGCGAGATCATCACAAAGTAAACATAACACAAGTCCAAGTTGCGACAGCAAGATGACATGATCCCCCAAGGTACACCCTTAACTGACTGACCATGACTAGTCTGAGAAGGGTTTGGGATGTGGTACCCTGTCATATGACTGTCTGATGACTATCATGCTCGAAATTGCGCTCAAAAGGGTGGGTTCAAGCTGTAATTTGCTGATATCTCATGTTGCTCAGACAGAAGCTGCGGTATGATACCGCGCGGCACCCCAAAATACAGTGGTAAGATAGCTCGCGGCGAGTTGACACTTTCGGCGCAGTATAGCTCAGCATTTACTTTCGGCAATAACATCGGAGACATCTCGCCGAGAGCTATCAGATTCCCCAGGCAGTAGGCCATCAAAAGAGGCACGCTGTGTCTCGGTTGGCGGAGTCGATCCAGCGAGGGAAGTACCACAGGACGCATCGGGTCTCATTACAGCCTCTGTATGAGTTTCATGACCAGGGCCAGTCGCTTGCGAAGATCGCGTCGGCCGGAATGAGCTTGAGACGGTTGGGACAACGCTAGATATGATGCTTGCCGCCCGCGATCTCCATGATCGCCTCTCGAGCCACAGATCGTGATTGACGCGCCACTTGTATGCATAATAGTCGACGCGCTTAGCGGGATTCGCATCGAAGCGTTTCGTATCGAATGACATCCATAACTGGATTGAGATCTGCCTCTTGTCTTTAATCTCTTCCTCTCTCAAGACTCTGAAAGTAGCTTGTGAACCGATGATAATCTTCTTCGTGCCTGCCTCCATCGGAGCTGTCCTTTCTAATTCGCACACGCCTTCCGAGAGCTGAACTTCCCAGATGTCTGGATAACGACCGGGTGAAACAATCATTTTAGCTGCTTCATGGGCGCTTTCTTCCTGTCCTTTCTCATTCAACCACTCGTTTGCCAGCTTTCGTATCCCGTGTACGTTTCCAGCTTTCTCCTTCATAAAATGGCTGCCGCACTCTTCCCCCAGACGTTTGAGAACGACTGTGGCGACCGCCTCCAGCTGCTGTCTCAACGGGTTCCACAGCCATTCGAGTTCATCTTCAGGTTTCGAGTCCGGCATGTAAGGATCCCAGATGATACTACCTTGGCGGTGTACGATTGTTCCGGGGGGAGGATTGGGCATTTTATTGTGTGTCAAATCGAGTCGATGAAGCTGAAGTCGAGGCAAAGGATGAGGAAGTTTGAATTCGATGGGGGAATGAGAGGAAGATATCAACAGCCATCTCTTTCTACAGCTCTATATGTATATAGGTTATCGGGCTGTGTGGCGACCTATCCTGAAAGCGCTAGTCAAAAGGCTAGTCAAGGTGCCGCGACTACAAAGGAGATCGAAGAAGCTTGTTTCATGCAGACGACGTCATCGATTCATTGCAAGCGCTTTCAAGTCCGTTTAGAGGCAGGGATATGAGGTCAGCGATATGTCATATAATCATACTGCAACATCACCAATTACTGTAAAGTGATATCAACAGATTGTTTACCGTTCAATCGTTAAGTTTTGATACTGTAGACGGGTCTTATATCTGAAGAATGATGAATGAAAGGTAGTCTGATTTCTACCCTCTGTCTGTATGCAAATCGAACCCATACATAAATCATGCTAGAAAGTACAGCTGTGACTGAGAGACCGAAGGTTTCGAAAGACATAAGAGGGTCTGACGGCGGATTCATTATCACTCTCAGTGTTGGCATCAGATTCATAGATCTGTGAGTCGGCTCTGAAGTCATCCAACCGAGTTCCTTCAACGTTGGGGGCAGTAATGTTGCTGACAGCCCCTGTCGAGGATGTCCCTTCCGGGCCAGTAAGTAACGAGTTGTCACAGGATGGCCCTTCCGGGCCAGTAAGTAACGAGTTGTCACGGGATGGCCCTTCCTGATCAGGTCTGACGCAAAGACCAAGGCTGAGTTTGTGTTTCACGTTAAAGGTGTACTGGTGGAGTCGTGTAGATTCCCGTTCTTCTTCAGGTATAGAGCGGAAGAACCGGCATACGCTCAAGTGAACTTGGAAGGGGCAGATGACAGTGCCCGACTCCGTCATGTATGGGTCTGACGGAAGAAAGGCCGCCTTGATGTCCACTTGCGTGGTTCTATTCTCAAATTTGGATCCCTCTTTCTCGGATCTGATACTTAGGATCTCGTTCTGTCTGATTTGTAGCTCTTCACAAGCTTCATTGAGTTTCGGGTAGACGACCACACCGATGTGATTCCTGGTGTGCAATCCAAGACAGGATTTTGCACTTTGTAAGACCCCTGAGGTGTCCACAGCTGTGGTTTCACTGCCAAAAGTGTCTTCGATAAGCTTTTTTGGCAGATCCAAGGCAGAGGTAGCGATCGCTTGCAACTCGGTGCGGAGAGGATCCCATAGCCACTTCTCTTCTTCTCTAGGCTCCGGGGCGGTTTCGCAATCAATGAATTCCACCTCGCCTAGTTCGAGTATAATGGGTCGAGGCAGCAGTGCAACCATAGCTGAGTTCGTGGTTGACATGGTCAGATTGGTGTAACTGCAAAAATCAGTGGAAACAGAGGATGCTCGCTCGGGTGACTGTTTGCTAGCAGGGCAGTCTCCGATTCTGTTGTGACAGTGCTCGAAACGATGAGAGCCCAAGTGTAGTCAAACTATATACCCACATCCGTACGCCATCACGAATACATCACAGAACGTCACAGATGGTCAACAAAGGAGGTCGGAGAAGCTCAATTCGCGTCATGTCCAGCTCACCCTTGCGGCAGACGCCGATACAGCTTATTGCGACAGCGCAAGCATGCAGCAGGTAGCAATCTCGCGACTGAGTTGATGCGATACGATAGAGAGATCGTGTGATGATGAGCCTAGAATATTACAGTAAGACCTGACTAGCGACTCTAGGGGGGGGAGGGGGGGGGGGGCTTATGTGCGTCTAGCGCTTTCTCGCGCGTTCAACGAATCTGTACCGGCTACTGGTACTGATTAGCTCCGTGTCAGACTGCTGATGATTGCGTTTTGTAGAATTGAACTGTCTGGCTCACACGATTGAGGCGAAAGAGGTGGAGAGCTGAGGATCCAACTCCAGCTATATGTTCAAAGGAGTCCAATCACCATGTGTGGAAGGCAAGAGTGTAGCATCATCTTGATTTCGTATTTAGCATGACCTAATCGGGGAACATGCGTATCAAATGTATCGCTGTTATACTACTCATACATGACGACTAAACCCTAACGCAAACTCTTGATCCAAATGCATTGAATCCTGCCTGCCATACTGATCGACAAGGAGATCGCATCGTTATTCCCTGAAGCCATATCGATACCATAGCTGTTTGGTCTTAGTGTGAGAATAACAAGGTCCAGCATAGAAATCCAGTCGAGTACATCGCTCTACTAGCTCGTGTCACTCAAGTGGGCGACTTCTGCTGCGTCAATCGTCTGTGAAGGAACCATACGGCTCCTGTTGCTATCTACGGTTATGGAGCAATAGCTACCATAGTGCTGCATATGAGTGTTGTTGTGACACCGCCAATCACTTGGTACCCTGAACCAGGGTTTTGAGGCTTATTGCTGTACAATTAGAGTCAATTAGATCAAGGTATCACTGGGATACCAAACCTTTGGTGATATAGACGGCATATCTAACTCGACTTGGAGCGAAACCCCTAAGAACAGGACCGATACTTTACCACGCAAGCTCAATGTCATACAAAGATTGAAACCTCACAGCAGTACTCCATACCTTGAACCTTGAATGCGTTTGGAGCCCTGATGTTTGCCTCCATCCGAAGTCTTCGATCTCCTTCACATTCATCTGGTATGAATTTCGGTTCCAAATCCGACTAGTCTAGTCTACTAGAAAGAATGTGGATTCATTGGTCCTATTGTTGTCATTCTTATCTCTGGTTGTCCTGAACTCTCGAGTGCTGAATAAATATAGTTATCGCTGTTATGTTTGGCCACATTCCGTAATCATATAGGCATGCCACTACTTCTTACAAGGCTCAGTATATAATAATAATTGATCGGGGGTAGTAAGCGGTCTGAGGGGTGGTACCATCCTCGGTCTCCCCCTGCTCACCGTCGAGGGTGGCTCAAGATTTCGAGCTTCTGAGTGACTCCCAAAGTTCTTCTGCCCAAAGTTCTTCTGCACTCTTCCTAGTATCGTTGGCACTACTGTCGCCTGTCCTGCTGAAAGGAAATGACAGAAGCGATACCCCTTGGGACGAACCCCATCCCCAGAAAGAGGATCGGGAGTCAAAGAACAGCTTGTGTTTCCCCTCCCGCTTGTACTCATAGTCCTTTTTTCCCAAGCCTGTTGGAGACTGGGAGGATCGAATCACTTGAAAAGTGACCTGCAGAGTGATGACCACAATACCACTGCTGGGATCCAGCGTGACCCGGAAAAGGGCACTTGACGTGATGCTGACTGATTTGGTCCTGGCTGGCACATCCGATTCAGGTTCATGTTGTTTCACCGCTTCATTCTGTTCCGCTTCCAAAGGGAAACAAGCATTTGACAACTTAGTTCTCGCATGCTCTTGAGGAGATGGGCTTGTCCTTCTAGTTAATTGACCGAGACACGATTGGGCGTCCTGAAATATCGTATCTATCGAATCGGCGGTGGCGTGACGAAAGGTGTTGGTGACAAGGGCATCTGCAGTTTCCAGAACATCCGCAGAGAGTTGCTCCAGCTTTTGGGACAAGGGGTTCCACAGCCAGTCCATCTCCGCTTTGGGCGCCCCTGAACCGAGATTGCTGCTTACATGGTCTTGGTCCCGTTCACGAATGATGGGTCGAGAGGACGAAGGCATGTTGTGCTTGGTGATGGGTTGGTGAGATGGTCGTTTGTATGCAGGGTGAGGGAATGGAGTTGTGTACGAGATTGTTTTCTTTTAGAGAGGTGAATTGTCGTTCCATTGCGCGGGAATGCCTCGTGCATATATAGTTCAAAACAACGTCGTAGCATGACACACTATCACGACACTTGCGACCAGGGGATCAAAGGAAGTCCGTGTGGCAGGTCACCTGGGGTGGACCACGTCACCTGATGACGTTGTGGCCAACAAAACGACGAGCAACGTGATGGTGTGACAACAGAATCAAAGGAACATGATCACGGAGAGACCTTTTTCAGCAGACGTCCGGCTGGGGGAAGCAGTATTCTCGACTTTGGACGAGCGCACGTGAGCTATGGCTTCATAAAACTTGATCAATGCAATCGATTTCGAATGATGTGCTTGACCGGAGGTCAAGTGGACAGAGTTGCCGGGCTGAAAGATGTATAGCCCGAGCCAAGCGATCCCCTTCCTTCCGCATGAACAGACCTGTGAGTCTCGGAAGACGGGAGAAGAGGGATGGGTAGTTGTTGTAGAATGCGCGATTCGGGTTTCTCTCGATCCTGCCGGCACGGTATCGGCGGAGGTGATCGCATCAATCGTCCGCCGGTCGATCAAAGGATGTTGCAAGGCCTTTCAATCTGGTTCGTGCCGACATAAGGTTGTCCTGTCACATGATGATGACATGTTCACCAACGTGATTCGCGGCCTACAATTCCTGACGGTGATCTTTGCGATTAGTAGCGTAATAGTTTGAGGCCCATATCGCTATTGACTAAGGAAGCGATGTCCGACATTTGACAGCAACCTATCTTCGGTAACCCATTACGATTAAGTTTTCAAATCATGCTTGACAGTCAGCCCAAAAACAAGGAGGACGAAGCGAACAACTCGAGGGATTCGCACTTGACACCGATAGCACAGCCTATCGAGTATGCTTCTCCAAACCAACTGGGTGACAACATTACACAGCCCCCAAGAATCACTTATCGGCATAGCGTGATTGACATGACGACAGTGTAAAGTGGAGAATCCTGAATCGAGATCAAAGGAAGCTCGCTGCCCTCTGTCTAGTCTCTGCTTGCGATGCCGCGTTTCAGCCACGACGGATAAGGTTTAGCGCCTCGGCCGAGTTTTCTCCGGCCGGGGTTGAGGTGGTCACGGCCTCAGCGTTAGTAATTAGTACACAAAGCAAAATACAGTCGTGGTCGTGGGTCACTCACGGGTTGGGTAAAGCTAACCTAGGGCCTGGTATGTGAGTATATTGGTTCATTGCGTTGCATTGTCTCGTGTCCTTCACTCAAAATGATCGATGCACCTCTGGCTCTGCCGGTCAGCTATCCTGTCGGTGTGAGCTCAGCAAAACTCATGGATGATCGCTTATTGCAAGCATGGATTGATGCCGAACTAGCATTAGTGATTGAACTAAAGGCTTCTCAGACGATATGAGTATGGCTCGCTTCGATGAAAGACCATATGGTCAGTCTTTCTCCGCCGTTATGGTGAGGTCGACTGAATTCTCGAAAATGACAGCTGAAGCTGTGTGAGTTGCCAGTCGGACCACCTCCGCATCAAGTGATCGACTAATAGCTAAGACGGGGTCGTGATTCCCTGATCTCGACACAGGTTACCTTGACTTCAGACTTGGTCACATAAAGTAGAATACAAGTGGGCAAGCTTGCGAACCGCAACCGATATTTTAGCTAATCGATCGTGGGCACATCGCGTCTTTTAAGCTGTGCTGCTCGAGGTGCATGATCATTGGAAATGTATAATTGACGTGACCGAGCGTCGAGCGGAAAGTCTGAGAATCAAACCATTAAGTGAGACCAGGGCTGCACAAGGAGATCAAGTCGGAGTTGATAGACTATTCCGAGAGGCGAGCTTGCAACAAATGAATTAATGTCACCCATCTATAAAATTCTAAACAACCTCGGATAGCATACAATTCAGCCGTTTGCCCATACCGTAGGTGGTCCCCTGTCAGGTCTGGTCAACGGACTGAGTGTGCTGGATGGAACCGTGAACAGAAAAGGCAGTGTTCGATCTGGGCACATCGACCGATCCAGCAATGCTTCCGGTGAGCTCAGTGTTTTCGGACTTGATCAGAACGGACGTGTCAAGAGCGATCGGATCATCACATTCGTCAGCGTTCTGCTGTGCGAGACTCGTGAAGCTCAATGAGCTATCTTGAACCTCCGAGCGAGTAATCACAGGTGTCATTTCCAACTCGAAAGTCAGCTTGCGAGATTGATGCCACATCGCTGGTGATTTCTGCTGATCTTCGTTGCGTTCGTAGATAGTGTACATCGCGAAGAATGTCCTGGTCTTCGAGGGATTCTTGCTGATGAATTCACTTATCTGAGGTTGGACACACAAATGCTCGCTCAAGTTTCCATTCGACAGCGCGCGATCACAGCGATTAGCTATATTCTTCCGATTCTCGGCGAGGTGTTCCTCCAAAGCGAGACGATACGATTCCTCACTTCCCCGTCGATTCACTACGAATTGTCTGTGGAAGAGTACGAGCTTTTTGACAGCTTCCGTCAGTGCGAATCTCAGCTTGTCCGAAAGAAGTTTGAGCGCCAATTCATTACAAGGTAGTCGTCGCTTAGTGTATACCGGTGCTGATGGAGTTATTTCCAAGTTCTTCACCTCGAATTTGTATGTAGTGGTGGAGTGCGGAGCTGTCCAAGTGTAATGTAAATGAGCATGTTCTACGGAGTCGTTCGCTTCTACTTACAAGGATTGAACATTTTTGTAACACTGCTCAGTCTTTGCTGGGTAGTTTCGATGGTCTGCCGAACTCTGGAGGATTGGGCCTTCAGTCAGCGGTCGTAATGGACAGAGTCTGATGTCATCGGCTCTTCTTAATGCTTTATGTGATTGGCGAGGAGCCAGGTCACTGAGGCGCATACGAACGTTCCGGAGAAGCAACACAAAGGAGGATCAAGACTATATCAACGCGACAGTATGGCCTGGCAGTATGTCCTGAATTAACGAGGCACGTGAGCCGGATCTGTCAGCTGACCCGGTGTCGCTGTTGTGCCACTCGACATGCCAGCAAAGGATTCGGAAGGTCCGGTGGCTAGACTTTGTTGAGCTGAGTTTTGCAGGTTCTCGATCCATCGACAGTCTTGAGAGATGCCTTGTCTCAGAGCAGGCCATATGCCTGCGACCCTGGCGAGTCGCGCAGATTAGATAGAAAGACCCGGAGAAGCAACACAAAGGGTTAGCAAGATTGAACGGATATCACAATATTTCCCAGCTTTACGTGGTATCGACAACTGCTACCGTTACCTGTCCTGACTCGTTGCTGTGCAAGATCGCAGGGGCACAAAGATCGTTGTTGATGCGTTGCCGATTCACAAATCGGGCCATATCGCCATCACTCTATGTCCCATCTATCGACTCCCCTCGAATATGCAACAAAATGGGCAAAGGCGCAGAATGTACTACAGAGAACTAGACGCTGTAGACACAAAGCACAAGATACTAGTATACACCTCCTCGAACAGTCTTTCTGCTTCCTGCTTCTGGTAGATCAGATACAGCTGCAGACAACACAGATGTCTGGGTGTCGTCGATCTCGCTTGTCCCCGACATGAAGCGTGATGAAGCAACTTCATACTGTTTGGATGGTCCGGCAGTACTGAGAGTGATATCACGAAGAGAGCTAGACTGGTCGCAGAACACAGTAGGAATGACCTTCAAAATTTGGGATTGTACGTGACTCACGAAGGGGAAACCCGCCAATACCGGAGTCCCATCGTATCGCCACTGGCCATATTCTAACTTCACCATGACGCGAACGATGCCTTCGTTTGTTTCACTTAGTGGCGGGACATCGAAATGTGCTGTACACGCAATAGATGTGACAGCGGGTTCAATGAGTCCTGGTACACGACGTTGGTTCGGTCGGCCTCCTGGACTTCCTGGTCCAATTGTTCAATCACACAACTCAGCTCGACGGTATCCCTTTCCAGAGCTTGATACAGATCCCTTGGCAACATCAAAGTGAGTCGTCTGTTCACTGCCGCCTTGATCGCAAAAGACCGCGCAGGAATCTCGATCTCAGCGAGGGCAGTGGCGAACTGTAGGGCGTGTTTCTCGCAGATGGCGCGCATGGCGTCCCCATATATGTCCTGCATCCAAGCGTACCTTCTATCTAAGGCGTTCCAAGAGGATCTCGAATGTTCCTGATCAGTATCCTTCTGTGGAACAATACGAGATGGGGCATGGAGACGCCAAGTCCGGATGACATCCAGCAAGGCAAGGCTAGTGTGTCTGTTCATCGAGTGGCGTGTCAGGTGGGTCTGCAGGATTTTGACATTATCGTGTCGCTGTCTGGGATGGACTGAGAGGATCATCAGCAACACAAAATGAGCCCGGTCGCCATGGCGTATCCGCCTATATATGCCATCTGCGGTCCAGGCCGCGGGGCGAAAGCATCTCCCGCCTTCATAAGCGATAAGAGAATCAAAGGAAGCTGTTTACGAACGTGTGGGATAGGTCGGGACACGCCCGAGCTATGATCCATCGAGGTTCGCGGAATTTTTGTCCTCGCCTACCACGGCGTATGCGAGAACTTCCAGCCATTCCACGTTCGCGATCTATATAGATGAGTCGAGTAATCCCTATACGACTACAGAAAATGGAAGTGTATCGGTGACATGAGCTCTGACATGATGATCAGCAGCAACCCCAAAATCATCGCGCTTTTGCCTGGCTCGCTGCAAGACGCGCCGTTACTGCTGTATCAAGAGATTCCAGTGTCTAGCTCGCGCTTCTCCTTTATATCACAACGATGAAGACTGAACATTGAACGTGCAGGACGCATCGTCCGAAGCATTGTAGAGGCTGTACGCTTGAACCAGAATCCAGTGGGAAATGCCGAGTGGCTGGATACTAGGCAGGAACACATATAGGGATAATAGTTTATTCACCTTTCAACTAGCATGAAAACCAATTTACAACTATAAAGATGTGCACTAGTTCATTATTCCCCCCGATTTCGCGAAATTCGACAGGCAATTCTGCATTACGAGCCCTTGAACGTAGTGGCCGAGAAGCCATCGATGGGACGGTCGGTATTCTCAGAGTTCTTGAAATCTGAGACCCCTTCCGCTGTAAGAACCCCTTCATTGGAAGCTGGTTCTAGACATATACCGGATCGTCCTAATCTGGTTGAACTACTGGTACTCTGGTTAGAGTAGTGGGTCTGGACAGTGCTATCTAAGACTATTTCGTTTGCGTCTCCGTGAGTGAACTTCCACACTAGCTTCGACGTAATGGAAAGATCGTCTTTTTTCGACGTCGCGTCAGAGTCTCTAATCCCGTACACAAAGGTGTACCTTTCGTATCCTGTTTGGGGGACATCGTAGGAGGCTTTGTGTATAATTTTGACAGGCCCACTTCTAGCACCTTTGAAAACAGCCGCGATTGCTTGTTCTGCCCCTAATTGTAGCTTGATATTCCAGGCAACAAGGTTCAAGTTGCGGGGCTGGTACGAGGCTTCCCAGGTATCATCTGAATAGCATTTCCCGTGAAAACCATTCAAGCTGTTTTGTACCGCTTCTACCAGAGCTTTGAGACTGGCGTTCAGATGGCTGACAAGGGCATTGCGCTGACTCTTCGTCACTCCTGGCAAGGCTCCGCTTTGATTATGCTCTCGAAGCCGATGGTCATCTTTGCTGCAGATCTTCAGTTGTGCTGTCCACATGTTCCCTGAGGTCAAAGCCAGTCATTTCTACATTCTTCTAACAACGAACATCAGGGTGACTTACCGCCGGTGTTGTTGCTTGACATTTTCTGGAGTTCTGAGAAGGCTTTTTGAAATATTTTAGAGCTGAAAGAACGATCAAAAGAAGAAGTGAGAGGCATAACTGACACCAAGATCACAAGATGAAATCGGCATGAGCTATAACAGTTCCGCTCACTTGAATGCTGAGAAGCCTTCTCACACTGCAGTCAGCAGGCTAGAATTCGCAGTAAGGGGAACTGATCCGTCCTCTCTTCTCCGCTGCTGGACCTGCGACTCAGGAAGGAGGGAGATCTGTAGACTGGCAACATCAGGGAAGTATGGCTGCCGAGACCGATTCACTGAAGAGAAAGGAATGCCAGGGCCGTTCGGGAAAAACCGGGAAGATGCAAGCTTCTCGGAACCAAGGCAAAGGTCATGTTACCTCTTGCCATATTCGCCACACGCCAGTATACTCTTACAGCATGAACCCCTACGCGAATAGTCAGGCATGACTCGCAGGTAGCGTTCTCATACCAAAATTCATGCCTCAAGCATACATACAACTGGAAACATGACTGGCAGTCTCGTAATCGCTTTAGAATAGAAGCTGAAGACATGTCCCGGTCTGCTCCGAACGTTCTCGACTTTCCTTTGTCCCTAATTATGGTATTCTAGCCAGACCCGTACTCGCAGGTCGCGGCTTGATTTCCTGGGAAGCAGCCACACGACTCAGTCTGCTGATGTTCCGTGATCTCGCATCCGGGGACCATCGAAGTCGTCTGTCAACCTTTGTCGTTGGTACGTCACCTTCCGACCCAATGTCAATTCGAGAGACGTTCTTGACTGCACTACAGCGTGCTCGAAACTCTATAAATAAGCCTGGGTATCCTGTCAGCGTCCGGAAGAGTTAGCGATCCCTCGATGTATATTTGCGAGCAACGAGACCAACACTGCACCTACCCACACTGAAGAGCACCCACTACAATGGCCCCTCCTCGCTACTACGGTAATTTGCTTGACCATGTCTTTCGAATAAGGAATGATGCTGACTCAGCTTGTTACGAATAGCAATTGGAAAGAGGTGGCGAGTCAAACGCACGGACTTGGGGGAAGACAAACGGTCATCGGCTGCAAGAGAAAAACTTCCGCTTACAACAGCCAACGAAGGGGACGTCAACCTCTACGACCGATTGGATGAAACGTTAGACATGGCGATGAAACGAGTGAAGCGCTTTTACCAGGAACGCGTTGATGATCACTACTTTGACGGCGACGAGAGTGTTGGATATCGAGTTGATCACCGTTGTATAGTTTGCATGAGGATAAAATATACAAGAGGGGATCATGAAATCAGACCAGAATGGTCTGCTATATATATTATTCTGGTAGGTGGCAAGGTGCTGCGGTTTGCGGTTTGCGGTCTGCGGTTTGCGGTCGCAAGTTGCGGTTTGCGGTCGCAACTTGCGGTTGTGGTCGCAACTTGCGACAGTGGTCGCAGATTGCTAAGCGAGTCGCAGATTGCTAAGCGAGAACAAAAGGAAAGGTGCGAAGAGTGGATGTGCTTTATTGTTCCATGCGGTCTATTGTTCTGGGAGAACAATAGACGTGCGGGAGAACAATAGGATTCGACACTCCCCCTCACTCAAGCGTCCTTTGCGAAAGAGGTTGGTTTTCCGCTGAGACCCATCCCGGTGACAAGGTGATGGAATTGGTGATGGGCGAGACCTTTGGTGAGAGCGTCGGCAAGGTTGTCTTGAGTAGGGATATGGGAGAGTTCAACGGTGTTGTCGAGTACCTTCTCCCTGAGATAGTGGTGTCTCATGTCGATGTGTTTGGTGCGATCATGAGCAACAGGATTCTTGGAGAGTTGAATGGCGGCATTGTTGTCATTGAGAATGGCAAGAGGACCAGAGACCGGGTGACCGAGAGATTCGAGAAGAGTGCGGAGCCAGACTGCCTGTCGGGTGGCATCAGCGGAAGCCATGTATTCAGCTTCCGCAGTAGAGAGAGCTGTGGTTGGTTGTCGTCGGGATTTCCAGGCTACCGGTCCTCCAAAAGCACGGAAGAGGTATCCGGTAGTAGATCGACGAGTGTCCAAGCATCCGCCCCAGTCAGCATCGGCGTAGCCCAGGATGATCCTTTGGCCAGAGGTGGCGTCGTAGGTAAGGCAGAGCTCAATAGTGCCTTGGAGGTATCGAAGAAGGTGTTGAGCAGCATGGACGTGTTGCTTGTTCCACTTGCTGACGGTCCGAGCTAAGACTCCGGCAGCATGAGCAATGTCGGGTCTGGTGATGGTGGCCGCATACATGATTGATCCGACCATTGCGGGATATTCCTCATGAGCGGCTTCCTGATGTTCAGCGTCGGTAGCGGGAAGAGATCGGAAGCCGGAAGGAAGGGGAGTCTTTGCCGGTTTGGAGTTGAGCATGCCAAACCTTTCCAGGACCGCCTGTACGTAGTGTTCTTGAGAGATGTAGAGTTTCCGGTTGGGCCTGTCTCGGAAGACGTTGAATCCAAGAAAGTAAGAGACCGCTCCTCCGTCAGAGCACTCAAATCGGTCGTTGAGCTTGGTCTTGAAGTCGTCCAGTTCCTGACGATTGTTGCAGGCGATGAGTTGATCATCAACATGGACGGAGAGAATGAGAAGGGTATCCTTGGTTGATCGGATGTAGAGACAGGAGTCGGCCGGAGAAGGAGTGAGACCGAGAGATCGAAGGAATTTGTCAAGGGCCTGGTTGAAGCAGCGAGGTGACTGTTTGAGGCCGTAAAGTGATTTCTGAAGTCGGAGAACCTTGTTGGCAGGGATGTTGCTGCCTTCAGGAGGTTCGAGATGGACGAGTTCCTCTAGTTCTCCGTTGAGGAAGGCGGCCTTGATGTCGACCTGATCACAGTCCATGTCGAGGTAGTTGACCAGAGCAAGGAAGACGCGGATGGTATCCTTGTGAGCGACTCCCGCGTAGAGTTCATTGTAGTCCACTCCTTCCTTCTGCAGAAATCCTTTTGCTACCCATCGAGCCTTGTAGGCGGATGGCTTCCCGGTCTCTCCGTCAATCTTTCGGGTGAAGAGCCATTTGGCTCGAAGAGGTTTGGATGTAGCTTCTTGCCTATCAATGACAGACCAGACCTTGTACTGATCCATCTTGTCGAGTTCGGCCTTGATAGCCTCCTGCCATTTGTCCCATTCTGGAGATCGGTGGGCTTCCTGAAAAGTTTGAGGGATGGCCGTGGAGATGAGTGCATGGCCACAGATGACGGCGGTAGCGAGGTTTGCAGAGTATCCAAATTTGGCAGGTGGTTTGCGGACTCGTCGGGAGCCATCAGGCAGGACTGGGTTTTCCGGTGTCGGTAACAGTGCAATATCCCATCCTTTGCTCCAAATGCCGGATGACTTGTGTTTGGCCTGTGTAGCCTGTGTAGCCTGATCACTTGGGATGGTCGTGTCATCACCAGGCTGATCAGGTGAGTTGAGAGTATCGGTATTGTCTTCAGCCGATTGATCCTCTTCAGTTTCTGAGTCTGAGTCTGATGTTGGTTCAGGGACTATGTCGATGTCAACCTGAGTGGACTGGATTTTGGTTTCCAGTGATTTGGTGTTGGTGGAAATCTTTGGTTGTTTACCAAAGACCACATCACGAGAGATGGTGACCTTTTCGGTGTGTAGATCCCAAATCCTGTAGTTGTCGGTCCCCTCAACGTAAGAGAGTAGTTGCCCTTCTTTGTAGCGAGGGTGAAGTTTGTTGGTGTTGTTGTGGTCATGGAACCAGAGCTGACAGCCAAAGGGTTGAAGGTGCCGGGAGTTGACTTCACGTTGCCTCCAGAGATCCTCCGGGACATGTTTGTCGGATCCTGCGGGAGCCCGGTTCCTGGTGTAGATGGCGTAGTTTGCCGCTTCGGCCCAGAACTTGTCATCGAGTCCGCTATCGATCAGGAGCGTCCTTACCTGATTGAGAATGGTAAGGTGTGCCCTTTCAACTCTACCGTTCTGAGCATGAGCGGCAGTTGGAACAAAGTGATGCTCGATGCCCTTCGCTTTGAGGTAGTCACGAAGAGCATGTGACTCGAATTCTCCTCCTTGATCCGATCGGATGGTCTTGACCGTGCAGTCCAATTGATTTTCAACTAGGTTGATATAGTCGACCAATGCCTGTCGGGTCTCAGACTTCTTCTTGAGAAAGCTGAGGTTGACCTTCCGAGTGTGATCGTCGTAACAGGTAAGGAAGTAGAGGGATCCTCCAATGGAAGGGGTTCGAGCTGGTCCCCAGAGATCGACATGGATAGACTGGAGTGGTTTGCTGGCTCGGATGTTGGAAGCAGGAGCGGGAAGTCGAGATCCTTTGCCTTGGATGCAGGCTGAGCATTGGAAACCGTAGATATCTTTTCCAACTTTGGCCCAGTCCACTGTCTTGTCGAGTCTTCCTTCTTTGCCGAGCTGAACCACTGAGCGAACATTGAGATGACCAAGTCTGCGGTGCCAGTGGTAAAGGATGTTCTCCTCTGTGACGTTATTGGTGGCCGTGATGAGTGCGGCCTTGTGTCGAATAGGAGTGCTTGCCGGATCGAGGACAAACAAACCGTCTTGTCGTGTTGCTGTGATGACCGGTTTGCTGGGTCCATCTTCAGTAGTGTTGAGGATCGCTTTGTCTTTTGCAAAGGTCCAAGAGTGTCCGTCGGTGCTCTGTGCGGCACCAACACTCAGAAGGTTCCGTCCCAGTTCGGGTACGTGAAGAACATCGTATAGTGTGATGTTTGGTAGTTTGAGTTGACCGCATTCTCTGGCGGTGATGTTGGCGCCGTTGCCTATGGTGATGTTTGCCTGGATCGGTAGTTGTTTAATTCCAGTGAGTAGGTTCCTGTCGTGGACCATGTGATGAGTAGCTCCAGAGTCTACAACGATGTCGAGTGCAGACGAGTGGGCCAGAAGGGCATTGTGATCGATGGTGATGCTTGCCATGAAAGCAGAGCCGGCGTTGATGCCATGGTGTTGACTCCTGTTGCTTACGAGTGCGGCGATGTTGGCACTGTTGTTTGTGTACCTGTTGGCGTTGTTGCCGGTACTGAAGTTGGCGGGCTTGGTGAAACAGTTTGCTGTTGAGTGTCCATTCTTTTGATGGAACTCGCAGAAGGCATTCTCGTCAAAGGGAGATCGAGGAATAAACTTCTTCTTGTTTCCGGTGCCGCCGATGTTGTTGTTGTTGTTTCGTGCTTGTTGACGGGCAGCGATGAGAGCCGTAGTCTCAATTCCTTCTTCCTGAACAATCCTTCTCCTGTACTCGGCTCGGACGGCGTCAATGACGTCCTGTGAGTGAAAGTCCTCCTTGAGATAGTAGGTCTGAACGAGGGTTTCATAGGAAGAAGGAAGGGACATGAGGATGGCGAACGCAAAGTCCTTGTCGTCCATCCGGGATCGGCCAGAGACGGTAATAGCGGAGTAAGCCGACTTGAGCTTTCCAGTATGGACAGTCGGATCTTCTCCTTCCGCGAGTTGGGATCGCCAGATGATTGCAAGAAGTTCAGCCCGCCTGGATCCCCTTGCGGCCGAGTAGGTTTCCTGAAGATGTTTAAGTAATCTTTCAGAAGCAGAAGGAAGCGTCGCTCTGTACTCATCGGTGTGAGCGGAGTCCCTTTGGACCAGAGCGTGCCAAGTTGAGAGGTGAGATGGAAGGTTGTGGTGGACAAGCTGACTGAGACTTCCGTCAATGATGCCGAAGGCCTTCTTGTCTTTCTTGATCCATTTCGCAAGTTCCTCGGCTGTAGCTGGAGTAGTGACCGTAGTGGTGGTAGTAGTTGGAGCGTTGTCCGTGCCGGCGGTGGCAGCCAAGGTAGAGATAGGTAGGGTATTAGGTCGAGGAATAGTTCCATCAACAATGTCGTCCAGATCCTTATCGATCAAAGTGTTTTGAATCGAGCGGGACCATTCCGCGTAATTGTCGGGACCCTCAAGGTAAGTCCGCTTGGTAACCTTGAGAGTGTCGAGGTCGAGACTGTCGGCCATGATGAAACTAAGTCGATGTTGAAGAGGGTTGGTTGATGTAAACTAAGGTAATAGCCCGTTGAGCTCCGTTGGTAGAGCAGCCGACTCTTAATCTGTTGGATATCGAGTTGATCACCGTTGTATAGTTTGCATGAGGATAAAATATACAAGAGGGGATCATGAAATCAGACCAGAATGGTCTGCTATATATATTATTCTGGTAGGTGGCAAGGTGCTGCGGTTTGCGGTTTGCGGTCTGCGGTTTGCGGTCGCAAGTTGCGGTTTGCGGTCGCAACTTGCGGTTGTGGTCGCAACTTGCGACAGTGGTCGCAGATTGCTAAGCGAGTCGCAGATTGCTAAGCGAGAACAAAAGGAAAGGTGCGAAGAGTGGATGTGCTTTATTGTTCCATGCGGTCTATTGTTCTGGGAGAACAATAGACGTGCGGGAGAACAATAGGATTCGACACGCTAATGGAACAACTGCAGAAGACCAATTCAGAGCTATCTCGATTGATTCAGAGATCATTCTTGACCGAGATTGAGACGAAAACCTACACTTACAATGAATGGCAGAATGAGTCTCAAGCCTTGTTCCGCAGAGAACAAAACACCTGGCTTGAAGAAATGAACAAGGTCAACGGAAAGCTTTCAGATAGGCAAAAGCGTCAAGCTGGCTTCCTTGCTGATTGGGAGGTCGGTTTCAGCTCAAATATGGGAAGAGACCATGTTCTGTCTGTAGAGGCTAAAGACCTTCGGTTGGTATTGAATGACTTGGAAAATCCTCGTCCGAGGATCGAGGTGAGCTATATCATCATCGTTCAGCATCATGCGAGCCGCAAGGATCAGACATACTTTGAGGAAGAACTCTATACAACGACGAACTGCACTTGGGTTTGGCCTATCCATGTTGCGGTCTCCGAGGTCGAACCTGTCCAGGAAACTCCCAATACCATTTATTCTGGCTTCACTGGCATCATTGACTCTCCCTTTCCAAGTGGATTTTCACAGTCAGGAGTGGGAGGTTTCAGGGAGGGTGATTCGCTAATCGAGGATAACCCCATCCGCTCCAACACCGGATACGGCTCGATGACCGCATTTACTCGATCCGGTGATTTCGGCGCACGGATGAGTGGTTGATAGACGATATTCATCTCGCTTGTTCAGGGACTCAATAGCGTACTATTGTCTATGTTTAGTTGCGCGTCGATGTATCATCCTGTTGTGTTGTATCTATACTCTCTATTGTATGACCAACCGCTTGTCCACATGACCTCTCATGCCAATCAACTAGTGGCCCCTTTTATCGCATTCTCATCTTTTCCAGAGCATACTAAGCGCGTGATGGATCAGGAAGTCTGCTAGTTGATCTTGCGGCCAAGATGAATCATAAGTCTGAGTCCCGCGCAGTGGCTGAAACGCAACAATCGCGCTTGAAGACGGGACAGCAGAAATTGCTTCCGCATTGCCGCTTCGAGACATTCAGCTTCCTATGGTTCTTATAGCTGGGGTTCTCATCACTCCTTTGTTCGATGCTGCTCAGCGTAGGAGAATCCAATAGCCATGCATGTCCCTGTTGTACTATATCCCATATAGTATACATCGCCTTTACGGTGCACTCGCCAACATCCCATTGTCTCGTGGAGTCCGGTTGAGACTTGACGGCAGATCCTGGAGACAGAATAAAACGAATCTGCCATTAGATATGGATACCCGTTTCATATGCAAGTATAGCCCGTCAAAACCAAGTGCGACTGGTATGTATATCCCACGCGACAGATTGTTTCGTTACGGACCGCTCGTGCTGAACTCAAAAGGTGCGCCTGAAGGGTACGGCCGACGATGGACAGCTAGCCTTGATTTTGAGGGACAGGAACTCGATCTGTTCGGAGACTTTGTGCAGCAACATGGACACTTCTGGACCAGTATTCGACCTACTCTCGATCGACATCTGCACCAATTAGCGAATGAAATCGAGGCATTCTTTCTCCGGATGAATGGCGACCTCACAAACCCTCGGCATTACAAGGACTGGGCGAGAATTGCGGTTATAGCGTTCGATAGTCGAGCAGTCAAATGGAAAGAGAATATGGAACAAGTCAATTCCAGTCTCTCGAGGAAACAAGTCGACTCCCACTTTCTGCCTGAAGTCTCTTTTGGTTTCGCTCCCGATAAGGGGAAGTTATACACCATTCACATCGAAATCGTTGATCTACAGTCACACTGGGACAGTCCTGGGCCTAGGATACAGGTAGAGGGTACCATCGATCTGACTCCTGCGCAAGACCTCGCGTCAAGCCAGTGGATCTGCACGTGGCCTATCAAGATTGGCGCCATCTCAGAGGGTCGCGCACGGCCCAAGGATGACCAGATCTCGTATCAGACCGGCTCCAAGTCAGCGACTACCGCGTCAAATATCAGCCTACAGAACACGCAGTCCATTCAAACCGCCAACGACCGGGGTAAGGACCTTGCCGGGCACCACATCATTGACCTCTCTGGGACAGAAACTTCTGCGATGACCAAGGAGAGTCTTCAAGGGTCTGCCCCGCAGATTTTCGACTGCGCAGAAACGCCCTACAGCTGGCTCACGGAGTTGTTCCGTTAGCGATTGAGGATCTTGCGGTTTGCTAGCTGAAACAGAAACGCAAGGGGTTATATCGCGAGAGGTTTTGTTTAACTGTCTACCTTGTATTTTTCTATGCCGATTCAACGCTTTCACGATCAAACAGGTACCGAGTTCCGACTGATTAGCTCGAATTGGGGGTCGAGTTCGATGATATCGACTGATCAGAAAGATCTTATGCCACCTAAGGAGCTGATAATGGCAACTATCCCATCCAATTATATTCCGAACGAAACCAAGTGCGATTGCCCTTTCGCGGCGAGTATGGTCAAGCTCGATCGGCAAGAAATGGCCAAACGAGAAGCAGGAACGCTGTCGAAACAGCTGCCTGTCTACCTATTGTACAACCACCTTTTTGAGACTCTGCTCAATTCTCGAAGCTCACCACCCGACCCCTTGCCCGCTTTGGGCAGGGAAACTTGAATGCGACGGTCTGCCAGGGCTCCAAATCGATTCGAGCTGCGCACGAGATGAAACGCCAAAGGTGGATACGCGTCGCCTTGTTTCACGCGCCTCCAGTACAAGGCTCTCGCGCTGTTGATCACTGCTCAGCTGCCGGAGGTTTCGTCGTCGTTGTTGAAGATAGAAGATGATGCTGCTCCGTGTGAAGGGCTGTGTAGCGTCGCAATATCGTGACATGTGTCTTGGAATAAGCTGATCGCTAGTTCACGTGTGTATCTTGCCCCTCGTCCGCGCTGCATTCGATGCCATTGACAGGGATCCCACAGGTCCAGTCCCGTTCCTCAAAAAGGTTTGCTGATCGATCTGGGATGTTCAAGAACTTCAAGAATCAATTCTTGCTGTTAAACCACAATCGAACGACGTGTCCTGTACCTGGCCGTCACACCCGATCATTTTGGGCACATGACCACTCGTTAGACCTATCACATAGAGATAACGTCAACGCGCACTCGGTCACCTGATCACCAAGGTCGAACGGCAGGCCCGATTTGCACCGAACGTTCTCAGTCCTCCTTTGTTGTCCACAGCACGATAGCTACGCCAGATACGTGCTACCCGATTGCGTGTGACCTTCCTAGAATCATCGTCCTGCTGTGACTGCCTGACGTCAGTGGTCTACTGACCTGCTCGGCAAGAATTATTATTGGTTGGACTTTGCTCGGCCGGAGAACCCCGGTACTACAAGCTTTTTGACTGGGAGGCTCCTTTATGAGATACCCCTGATCCTACGAAGGGTTACAGTTTCAAGCTCTTGATGTATGGCGAGACCTGGGGCATAGAGAGGGCACCAAAATAGTTTCGTCTGTCGGAAAGCTAACTTGATTTATTCGATGTATTCTACCATTACCGCAGCACTACCTATCCGCCGACACAGCTTCAAATACTGACAAAATGACCGGCGTTGTCCGTGAGCAGTTCTCGCACCTTCTGTCGGCAGGTTGTAATATCACTAACCGAACGGAATGATCGCCAGCAGAATCAGAATATCCCATGTTCAAGTTTTCCGTGACAGAGATCAAGACAGAGGATCTCACCCCAGAAGGGCAGAGGTCTTTGAACGACGTGTCGGACAAGTGGCCTCACGTAAAGGCGGAGCTGGAGACCAAGCTCGAGGATGTGTTGAAAAAGATAGAAATTTTCCATACAGACCGCCAGGGCCAGTGCAACGATTGGGTTAGGGATTACGAATTACCTTTCGCTCGGGCCGAGCATGAATGGAAGCTGGACTTGTATACCCAGAAAGAGGCAGTTTTGGAAAAGACTTTCCCCGCCATCACACCGCCTGACAGGTATCCATTCAAAATCGATGAGACCTTCGGTGATCAGTGTCATCCGGGACTTGCAGAATTCTACGTCACTTACAACGTCAGCGATCAGAACAACTCAGAGCGGAAGTACAAGTTGCAGTGGAAATTGAGCCTTCCATGGCGCGCCAGAAGAGTTAAAACTTAGGTTCTTAGCCTTTACTATTGTACAGCCACAAAGACACCTACCATGGCAAAACTGTGACAGGTGATATTACAAGCAAGCAGCTAGTCACTCATGTTATCTCAACCTAACTATTTCAACCGGTTGCTGCGCAAATGGGTTTCCCATGTGGTACTTCTATCTGGAATATAGGTACTCAAACTCTCAGCTCAGCTTGTTTTACAACTGCGTGATACATGCTGCATGTTTACACAGTCAACAGTGACTGGAATGACGGGCTGACACCATGAGTGTGTTGCTACATACTACAGCTCTCAATTGATGCCAATTCTAATAGCATTAAGGGGTTAACCCATAGTATAGTGGGAAGGAGAGGTTTAAAGGCTGTGAGCAATTGAGGGTGACTCTTTTGGCGCGCGATAGTCACCCTGCTTCAAGACGCGCTCCGGCTACAGAGGCCTGTGTACGCTTGTCGCCGGAATCGTGTTCGAATTTGACCCCTCATGAGATGCCGCTGGGTTTTCGACTCAGCTGCTCATCAGATCATCATTGAGCCCGCCGGAAATGACACTGTCTACAACGCACACCGTATGATTAGTTGGTTGTCGCCCGTCAGACTCAACGGCGGTGTTCATCTTCCTCATAGCATGAGACGTCGTTCGCACTTAGTCTTGCTCCGAAATTTTATAGAGCATTCAGTCAACTTGTTGGAAGCTGTCATAGATTGGACCGATAAGCGAGAAATCGATACAGCATGTATGTTCCTAACCCCGAAGACTGTTACAACATGTACAATGGTGAATTACAGTATAAATCAGAGTCCATCCGGAACGGTCCCAGCGTCTCCTCACAAGGTAATGTACTTTCGGCTTCCAGGCTTTCCGATTCCCTCTTCAAGCGTTCGATGTAGCGAGTCTGGTGAATATGGATATACTGACTTTCACCGGCTTGCTTTCGCTCAATCTGGATGCCGAGGAATAGGCGAGGAGGACCGAGCTCTTCCATTTCGAATTCAGAGGCTAGGAACCTCTTGATGTTTTCGGTCTGTTCCTTGGTTCCGGCGATGAGACAGTCGTCCACGTACAATGCGACCATAGCCCTTGAGTTTCGACAGAGAAACAGAGAAGGGTCGGAAATACTGGGGTAGAACTCGATCTTCTGGAAAGCGTCGGTAATTCGAGAGTTCCAGCAGCGAGGTGATTGTTTGAGTCCGTAGATCGATTTCTTCAACCTCCAAACCCAGCTTTCTTTTCCCTTCTCTTCGAACTCTTTAGGCTGACGCATGTAAACCGTCTCGTCGAGGTCTCCGTTCAGAAACGCAGTTTTCACATCCATTTGTTCGAGATGAAGGCCTTGAGTAGCCGCGGCGGCTAACAGTAACCTTACTGTTTGAAGCTTGACGACCGGAGCGAACGTTTCGCCATAGTCGACACCTTCGCGTTGAGAGAAACCTTGAGCTACAAGTCTCGCTTTGTACTTGATGTTTCCCGCGTGATCTTGCTTGGTCCTGAGCACGAAGCGACTTCCTACGATATTTTCGTTGCCTTCGGGCCGAGGGACAAGTTCGTAGACATCGCAGGTCCTCATGGACTGCATCTCGATCTCCATCGCTTTGAGATAAGCTCCTTCTTCAGCCGAGTCCTTGACGTCTTTGAAAGACAAACTGTGATTCGCGACAGCCAGAGTTTCGTTCATGTAGTCGGTCAAGTCATCCGAGCCTTCCATCTTTTCGGTAAGAACGTTAGACAGTTCGGATAACTTCTGTTTCGACTTGGCCGCCAATCGGCTAGACTTCCTGGGTGTCGGTTCTTGTTTGTCGTCATCTTTGTCTTCAGGACGAAGACCGAAACCGCTGTTGTCCGAACTAGACGATGGACTGATCGTCTTGGTAGATTCGGGGACCTTTTCCGGATCCGTAGTACCTGAGGGAACGGGACGCTCCTCAGCTTCGGAGGGAGTTGTACTTCGCTTCTCTTTGAACGTACAGTCCTCTCCCCTGACCTTGTAGGAAGTAAACCTCTTTGGGTCTACAACGTCGTAGCAGACCCCATGAGGATCACTGTATCCGACGAGAATTCCCTTTCGAACGTGTGGGTCGAGTTTCCCGCGAAGCTCGGCTGGTAGCCAAGACCAAATGGTGCAGCCGAAGACGCGTAAGTGCGAAATGACTGGCTTCTTCCCGTACCAGATTTCGTACGGCGTCTTCCCGTCTAGCTTCCTTTTCGGACATCGGTTTCGAGTATGAGTAAAGTGGTGTAGAGCGTGCATCCACCAACGCTTGGACATCTCGCTATCCTGTAACATCGAGATCACTCCCTCGACGCTAGATCGATTGAATCTTTCGGCGATTCCGTTCATCTGGGGATGATGAGGAGCGGTCGTACTCAGAACGATGCCTTTGCTGTCCAAGAACGTCTTCATTTCTTGACCGACGAAGGCTCCATCGTTGTCCCCGTGAAGGCACTTCACTCGTTTTCCGGGGTGGGACGTCTCTACGTAGTTCACGTAGCGTCTGAAGCAATCCGTAGCGTCGGACTTGAGCTTCATCGGAAATACCATGGTCCATCGGGAGAACTCGTCGATGAAGACCATGAAGTACCGATATCCTTTGATGGCCTCGACCTCCATCTGACAAATATCAGTATGGATAACTTCGAGAAGACCTTTCGCTCGTTCGTGAGATCCGCGATGAGGCTGTCGATGAGCCTTTCCGTCTCGGCACGCTTCACAAGGTTCCTCTGCGTCGCCGACCTTTGTGTGATCGATTTGAACTCCGAAAGACTCGTCTTTGGCAATCTTGAGCACATCTTGCTTGTTGAGATGGCACAGACGTCTATGCCAGATGTCGTAGGACAGTCCTTGACTTTGAGCTACGTTTGCGACTTCCGCACCTCCTTCGCCGATGTCGATTTCGTATAGACCTCGAACTAACTTGCCGGTACCGATCTTCTTGTTTTCGAAAGTCAGATCGCAGCGGTTCGAGAATCCGACGTGCGTGACTGAGATCCCCTTCTGAGACAATTGACTGGTGCTCAGAAGGTTGAAGTGCAACTTCGGTACGTACAGTACGTCCGAAAAGGCAGTAGGCTTGATTACCCCGTCGACCTTCAAGAGTAGAACGACTGAGCCTATACCCTCGGCGTAGATTTCGGTTCCGTTGCCGACGATGATAGGTCTATGAATCTTGCGGAGACCTCGGAACCAGGAGAGGTTCTTCATCATGTGACGAGAACATCCAGAGTCGGAAATGACCTTGTCATTCATGTCCGTGGCAGACAGAGCCCTCTCGTTTCTGAGCCAGTCCTTTCCGACGTTCATGAGGTTCTGAGATTCGTAAGCGACGAATGCTCCGAGTCGGAAATCCGAGGACGAGGTTCGTTGCCTGGATCGACCTCCTTCGCTGAGGTTTAGGGCAGCCAGATTCGAAAAGTCTGGTTCCTCGTCCTCCGATTCTTCGGTGCTCGCGACATGAGCGTTCGAGCGTTTCGGCTTGGACTGGTACGAGTCCCCCCGAACCAGTTGACTGGGTGGAACTCGAACCAGTTGTCCTTCGCAGTCTCTCGATAGGTGTCCTTTCTTCTGACACCTGTAGCAGGTGACTTCGGACAAGTCCCTTTTCTTCTTCTTTGGGTCAGATTTGTAGCGAGAGCCCGACTGCGGATAGCTCTTGGCTCGTGGGGCCGAGGCCGGTCGATGCTTTGCGGCCAGGGCGGCCATAGCGTTGTTCTCCTCTACCTTCGTCTTTCGTCTCATATCCTCCGCGACCAGTTGACTGTAGACCCATGCAAGGTTGTTGCATAAGTCGTTTTGTTCGATCGTAATCGACAACTGAGACACGACGTTGTCGTAGGAATCGGGGAGGGATGCAAGGAGAGTCTGAACCATATCGTCTTCGGCTTTGTTTCCTCTGGCACGTTGGTAGTCTACCCAGAGTCGTCGTAGAGTCTGGTAGTGCTGTTCCAAATCTCCTTCGGAATCGAGTCGAAGGTTGCTCAGCTTCTTTCCGATCAAAGTCTTGTTCGACTTTCCGGTGAGTTGGTAGGTGGCCGCCAACGTCTCCCACTTAGCTCGGGCTGAGGTGAGTTGAAGGATCAAGGGAAGGACCTCCGGTCCGCACCACGATTCGATAAGAGCGGACGCCTTTTCATCTTGATCGACCCAGGCCTTCAATGCCTTCCTTTCCTTTTCGGTAATGGGTTCGCTTGGTTCCCCGGTGACCTCGTTGATGTGAGGGCATCTCTCGTATCTCCACTCTTCGCAACCGGCGAAAGTCCAGAGTCCCTTGAGAATGAGAGCTGCCTTTGCCGATGAAGCCCAACTGGTGAAGTTTTGGGAACCGGACAGTTTTTCGAACTTTTGGGTGTCGGTATCGGACCCCATCTTTCGCGGAAATGGACGTCCTTTATCTATTTCTTTTCGGCTTTCGATGTAGGGATTGATCTACCTCGTGTAGATAAGTAGAGCTAGGTCGATGTCGGGAGTCTGTCGACCTCGTGTCGATAGAGTCGGACGTTCGAAGACCTTTCGAGTTTGACTGAGAAACCTTTAGTGGCGAGTGATCGTTTTCACTGAACGAGAGCCGCTACCATGTTGTTTTCTCGCTGTTTCTCAAGTCAATAACTTTGGCTTTATTCATGAATTACAAAAGACTAACCTGTTTCTCAAGTCAATAACTTTGGCTTGAGAAACCATACAAAATGATTGAACTAGAAAACTAGAAGTACTACTATGTTTTCTAGATGTAGGGAGGTTGACGGTCGGTCGCGTCGCGCGTCACGTGACAACAGTCCCCCTCAACCTTCCGAAATCGTTCGAGTTGTATGTTGCTAGTAGCGATTGATGTTCGCATGCCTTGGACACAAGTTATGTAGTCACCTTGTGTCGAGTGCGATTTTTGTAGAAGAGTCGTAAGATGAAAAGTCGTAAAGTTCGCCGCGTCGATCGAAGACTCCGTCGCGCGTGTCGTTTGTTTCAGAAGTTTATGGTAAGGAAAGTGGTACCGATCTGTTTCGTAACGAGCGTGGTAGTTGTCGGCCGTGTGTGCTGAGTGGCTATTAAGCCATGCCGATGCCGTGAATGTGGAAATCGTGAGAGGTGCGCGGGAGTTCTTTCGTGAAGACATCCGCGTGATTGTCTTCGGACCTGACGTACTCGACCTGAATGGTCCCATCTTGAATGAGATCTCGAATGAAGTGGTAGTGTACATCCACGTGCTTCATCCTGTCGTGAGAGACCGGATTCTTTGCGACACTGATGGCGGACTTGTTATCAGCGAGGATGGTGATCGTCTGAGTTTCCTTTTCAGATTTGTAAAGTCCGGTCTCGCTGAGTAATTTGAGAAGCCAAATCGCTTCGCGAGACGCAGCCGAAAGCGCCATGTACTCAGCCTCGCAGGTCGAGACCGATACCGATTTCTGCTTGCGGCTGGACCAGACCAGCGGTCCGTTGCAGATCTTGAAAATCCATCCGGTCAACGATTTTCGATCGGTAACGTCGTTCGCGTAATTGGCATCCGAATATCCGATCAGATTGAGTCCGTCTCCGCCGTCCGAGATCATGTCGTACCGAATACCCAAGGACTTGGTTACGTGAAGGTATCTCAAGACCCTCTTGATAGCCTTCCAGTGAATCTCGCAAGGTTTGGACGAGAATCGACTCAATACCCCTACGGCATGGGCCAAGTCGGGTCTAGTCCCCAAGACGCAGTACATGAGAGATCCGACGGCGCTCATGTATAACTGATTGGATTCCATGGGGTCGGTTTGATCTCGGTAAGCCTTCGTGAGAATCTGACTGTCGACCATCGGAGTCGGAGAAGTTCCGGATTCTTCCATCGAGAATCGTTCCAAGATCGTGTCGATGTAGCGAGTCTGGTGAATATGGATATACTGACTTTCACCGGCTTGCTTTCGCTCAATCTGGATGCCGAGGAATAGGCGAGGAGGACCGAGCTCTTCCATTTCGAATTCAGAGGCTAGGAACCTCTTGATGTTTTCGGTCTGTTCCTTGGTTCCGGCGATGAGACAGTCGTCCACGTACAATGCGACCATAGCCCTTGAGTTTCGACAGAGAAACAGAGAAGGGTCGGAAATACTGGGGTAGAACTCGATCTTCTGGAAAGCGTCGGTAATTCGAGAGTTCCAGCAGCGAGGTGATTGTTTGAGTCCGTAGATCGATTTCTTCAACCTCCAAACCCAGCTTTCTTTTCCCTTCTCTTCGAACTCTTTAGGCTGACGCATGTAAACCGTCTCGTCGAGGTCTCCGTTCAGAAACGCAGTTTTCACATCCATTTGTTCGAGATGAAGGCCTTGAGTAGCCGCGGCGGCTAACAGTAACCTTACTGTTTGAAGCTTGACGACCGGAGCGAACGTTTCGCCATAGTCGACACCTTCGCGTTGAGAGAAACCTTGAGCTACAAGTCTCGCTTTGTACTTGATGTTTCCCGCGTGATCTTGCTTGGTCCTGAGCACGAAGCGACTTCCTACGATATTTTCGTTGCCTTCGGGCCGAGGGACAAGTTCGTAGACATCGCAGGTCCTCATGGACTGCATCTCGATCTCCATCGCTTTGAGATAAGCTCCTTCTTCAGCCGAGTCCTTGACGTCTTTGAAAGACAAACTGTGATTCGCGACAGCCAGAGTTTCGTTCATGTAGTCGGTCAAGTCATCCGAGCCTTCCATCTTTTCGGTAAGAACGTTAGACAGTTCGGATAACTTCTGTTTCGACTTGGCCGCCAATCGGCTAGACTTCCTGGGTGTCGGTTCTTGTTTGTCGTCATCTTTGTCTTCAGGACGAAGACCGAAACCGCTGTTGTCCGAACTAGACGATGGACTGATCGTCTTGGTAGATTCGGGGACCTTTTCCGGATCCGTAGTACCTGAGGGAACGGGACGCTCCTCAGCTTCGGAGGGAGTTGTACTTCGCTTCTCTTTGAACGTACAGTCCTCTCCCCTGACCTTGTAGGAAGTAAACCTCTTTGGGTCTACAACGTCGTAGCAGACCCCATGAGGATCACTGTATCCGACGAGAATTCCCTTTCGAACGTGTGGGTCGAGTTTCCCGCGAAGCTCGGCTGGTAGCCAAGACCAAATGGTGCAGCCGAAGACGCGTAAGTGCGAAATGACTGGCTTCTTCCCGTACCAGATTTCGTACGGCGTCTTCCCGTCTAGCTTCCTTTTCGGACATCGGTTTCGAGTATGAGTAAAGTGGTGTAGAGCGTGCATCCACCAACGCTTGGACATCTCGCTATCCTGTAACATCGAGATCACTCCCTCGACGCTAGATCGATTGAATCTTTCGGCGATTCCGTTCATCTGGGGATGATGAGGAGCGGTCGTACTCAGAACGATGCCTTTGCTGTCCAAGAACGTCTTCATTTCTTGACCGACGAAGGCTCCATCGTTGTCCCCGTGAAGGCACTTCACTCGTTTTCCGGGGTGGGACGTCTCTACGTAGTTCACGTAGCGTCTGAAGCAATCCGTAGCGTCGGACTTGAGCTTCATCGGAAATACCATGGTCCATCGGGAGAACTCGTCGATGAAGACCATGAAGTACCGATATCCTTTGATGGCCTCGACCTCCATCTGACAAATATCAGTATGGATAACTTCGAGAAGACCTTTCGCTCGTTCGTGAGATCCGCGATGAGGCTGTCGATGAGCCTTTCCGTCTCGGCACGCTTCACAAGGTTCCTCTGCGTCGCCGACCTTTGTGTGATCGATTTGAACTCCGAAAGACTCGTCTTTGGCAATCTTGAGCACATCTTGCTTGTTGAGATGGCACAGACGTCTATGCCAGATGTCGTAGGACAGTCCTTGACTTTGAGCTACGTTTGCGACTTCCGC